AAAAGTCTACATCGATCAAAGATCTGAAAAAAAAAAAAAAAAAAATTCCTTTTTTTTTTTAATTCTAAAAATATATCAGAAAATACTCATCTAAACTTGGGATATGGAAGATCTTGCTCATCTAGAAGCCAGAAAGAAAATGGGTAGAACTGTTGACATAAAAATGTGAAACTGCATGGTAAAAGACATGGCTCTGTTTGCAGCATGAGTAAGAACAATAGATTAATATCCCTAATATGCAAAGGATTTCTGTGAATCAGAGAGCAAAGTACCCTAACCAACCCAATAGATGAATGGGCAAAGGAAATGAATAAGCAATTTATAGAAAAAGAAATACAAATAACCAATAAACTTATGAGAAGATGCTAAATTTCATAATGACTAAAGCAATTCAAAATAAAGCAATAATGAGATATTAATTCCCTTTATCAAAAAGGAAATAAAATTTAAAAGATTGGTAAACAGGAACTCTCATAATGTCTCTGCCATTGGATCAGGGAGAGGCATGTAGGAAGTGTCAAAGATAGTGATAGTTCACCTGGATAATGGGTATACAGTGATCATTGTACTGTTACATTTTATGCCTCACATAACTTGAAAAAATATTTTTGAATCTATTCAATATTTGATTTAAAACAGTTTTTAAAAATTCATGCCTTTTGATTCAGCCTCTTGGGAATCTTGCATAGGTTGCGTACTCAAGGATATGTGCTCTCGTTCATTATAGCGTTTGTGGTAGCAAAAAGTTGAAAACACTCTGAATGTCCATTAGTGGGGCAATGTTTAAATCTTGGTACATCAGTAAGAATGAGGAGATAGAAGCATGCATTTAATATGTTGAAAAGTAAAAAAAAGGAGTGACATGATTCCAATTTTATTTAATAAAAAGTGTTTATATGGATATATATGTGCTTTAGAAGCAGGCTAGTTGTTGACTGGGAAATAGGGGTGGGAGGGTCTCAGATGGGGACATACTGATTTTTTATTTATATAATTAAGAAGTGGTGGGCTTAATGTACCTTTTTTTTTCTCTGCCTTTTTTGTATTTATTTTATAAAATCATTTTTAATACAAGCTTTATTATTTTTGTAAAAAAGATGCATTTTTATTTTCAGTGTGAAAGTCATGGGCCATCCTGGGGTAGGAGCAGAAGAGGTTCCAGCAGATGGAAATTTTTTTATAAAATGAGATTACATTGCTGTTTTGTAATTCTTTTTTCCCCACGAGATAGAATGTTGGCATCTTTCCACTTTAGAAAATAGAGATTATAACTTCATCTTTCATGATTGTGTAATATTCCAGTATATGTATGTTTTACTTAGTCTGTTATCCAGTATTGATTGTTTCTTATTTTTCAGTAACATAAACAATGTTTCATGAATAGGCTAGTTCTACAGTCTTTACCCCTTGTACAATGATTTTCTTCCAGTCAATTCCTAGAAGTGGGATTGCTAGGTCAAAGGGTGTACATGTTTAAAATTTTTATACACGTTGTTAAATTTTCCTTTTGAGAAGTTTCATGTAGTCTCACTTCGTTACTAGTTTAGTGTGGTGGGACCTGTTGATTTAGTTTTTATTTTTATCAAAGGGATATATGCAGATCACCACCAATTGCTGTTCAGTGATTCCAAATCATGATGACCCCATGTGTTTCAGGGTAGAACTTTGCGTAGGGCTTTCAATGGCTGTAATCTTTCAGAAGGCCTCTGGGTGGATTTGAACCACCAGCCTTTCGATTAGTAGCCAAGTGCTTAACTGTTTGTGCCATCCAGGGACTCCTAGATATGCATATAGTTAGAGATGAATATCTACTTCTATAAGCTTCTTTAAAAAAAAAAAAACAACAGAAATTCCCAGCTCCTTTTGCCTTTCCCAGATCCCCAAAGGTAACTGCTTTCAACTTTTTTAGCTGATTCTTGTAGCGTTTACCTCCTTATCTTCAAATTCCAGTTTTATTTAATATTTATCGACTTCCTCCAATGGTTAAGGATTTCTCTTTTTTACCATTCCCCACACCCACCCACATAGATTTACTTTTACCCTGCATCTTCCCACTCTAGTTAATTTTAGTTATAACTGTTTTCAGTGTTTACATTATTAATCAATATAAAAGTTGAACCATGATTACTTTCCTGCACCTTATTTTTCTAGTTAATAATTATCTTTTTGTTTGCTTTGTTTCCTATATTTCACCCCCAAACTATCCTCTAATTGTATAAATCTCCGGTTATGCAATGTATCCAAACACATTAAGTAAACTGCATTTTAATTTCTTGAAGAATTTTCTCTGCACGTCTTCTGATCTGCTCTAAGCTGGGAGGGTTGTTCAGTCATCAGACTACACAGCTATCTCTGTGAGTTGTCCCTCCACCATTATTCTGGGGATTCCGATCTTAGGTGTTTAGATCTCATAGTGTCCTTGTTCTTGATTTAATCCTCATTTGGTAGAGTGCATCCTCTGGTAGACTCTTGTGCAAGAAAACAGGGCAGGTAAAGCCCTGAGGTGATTGCATGGAATATAACAAAATCCCTGTCCTTGAGCAATTTATATTCTTAGGAAAGCAAGGTGGGATAATAAATAAAAAAACAAATATTTATTATGTTGGATGGTGTTGAGTGCAGTGGAGGGAAATGAAGAAGGAGGATAACGGGACAAGGTGTAGGGGCTGAGGGATGCTATTTTATATGGGATAGTTAGGGAAGGCCTCATGGATAAGGTGATGTTTTAGCAGATACCTGAAAGAGCTAAGGGAGTGTGGGGAAAGAGTGTTCTGGGCAGAGGGAGTCTTGAGGTAGATACATGCTTGTCGTGTTTGAGAAACAGCAAGGAGTCCAGTGTAGCTGGATCACAGGGGCGAGGAGATTGGGAGGACATGAGGTTAGAAAAGTAGCAGGCCAAACCAGTTAGGGCCTTGCAGACCCTTGTTAAGACTTTGGCTCTTATTCTGAGTGAGCTAGAAAGCCGCTGAAGAGTTTTGAACAGAAGCGCAGATGTGATCCACCTTATGTTTTAAAATTGCTCTGGTTATTTGTGGAGAATGGTCTCTAGGGGCTAAGCAAACTTAATTTAGGAGAGATGGTATTGGCTAGGAACAAGGTGGAAGCAAGAGATGATGTGAAAAGTTATCTGTTTCTACATATATTTTAAAGGTAGAGCCACACTGGATGTGGGTTGTAAGAGAAAGAAGAGTCAAGGATAATTTCAGGGCTTTTTGGCCCAGGCAGTTGAAAGAGTGGATTACTGAGATTGGGAAGACTAAAATGACTAAGTTTGGGATAGGGAAGGAGGGGCACTGAGATCAGAAGTTTGGGTTTGGACATCTTAATGTTTGTGGTGTCTACTGGACATCCAAAATGTTGAGTGTGCAGTTGTCTAGATGGGTCTGGATTTCAGGTGCTAGATTGGGCTTGAAGATAGGAATTTGGGAATATACCCATGCCTAGATGACATTTAAAGTGGTGAGACTGGCTGAGCTCATCGAAGGAATGATTGTAGAGACAAAGAGATCCTAGAACTGAGTGAGTCTTGGAGACTGATTATTTAGTGGTTGGGGAGAAGAGAAGATACCAGCAGAAGGATTAGGCAGGACCTGCCAGTTTGGAGGAGAACCAGAAGAGAGTGTGTCCTAGACCCAAGTGAATAACAAGCTTCCAGGAGAAGGGTGTGATCAGTTCTTAATAACTATTATTAAAGTGCTATGGATAGGTCAAGTAGGATGAGCCCCAAGGGTTTACCTTGGGATTTAGAAGTGGGGTCGTTTGTGATTTTTATGTGCTGTTTCTAAGGAGGTGAAAGCTAGATTGGAATGGGTTCAAGAGAGAATAGGAGAAGAAGAATTGGAGACACCAGGTATAGACAGCTTTTTTTTTAAATTGTGCTTTAGGTGAAAGTTTACAGAGCAAATTAGTTTCTCAGTCAGCAATTTATACACAAATTGTTTTGTGATATTAGTTGCAATCCTGGCAATGTGTAAGCACTTTCCCCTTCTCCACCCCAGGTTCCCCATTTCCATTCGTCCCATTTTCCTGTCCTTTCTGGTCTTTGTTTTGGTCACGTGTTGCCCATTTGGTCTCATTTACATGATTGAGCTAAGAAACACGTTCCTCACATGTGTTATTGTTTGTTTTGTAGACCTGTGTAATCTTTGGCTAAAGGGTGAACTTCTGGAGTGACTTCAGTGCTGAGTTAAAAGGGTATCTGGGGGCCATAGACTTGGGGTTTCTCCAGTCTGTCAGACCAGTAAGTCTAGTCTTTTTTTGTGAATTTGAATTTTGTTCTACATTTTTCTCCCACTCTGTCTGGGACCCTCTATCGTGATCCCTGTCAGAGCTTTCGGTGGTGGTAGCCGGGCACCATCTAGTTCTTCTGGGATCAGGCTAGTGGATG